GCGCCGACAACACTTTTTGCATGCGAAACGAGTGGTTCAAGACAGCACGTGAAACATACGCAATGCTAATCCATTGAGGGAATGCACTCGAATCTGTTTTCGTTCATGCTGTCTCGGGCCAGGTGTCTATCTAAGTGTTCATTTCAGGCAGCTGTTCACGAATGGTCAGTGCCTCAACGATATCGCGGTTAGCTATATCTCTGCGCCGACAGAGTATGGTCACTTTCGGCTGATGCGCGGCTCACGCGGATGGGACTGCCTCTGGGGCGTGTGGTCGCCGAGAGCCGTCTGCTTGGTCCGGTCGGTGGCGTCCCCGTAACGCTCGTCGGATCGGTGCCTGACGCAGCGCCTGGTCTCACCGGTGTGAGCTTATGAGCAGCGCGTGTGCACTACAGAGGCAGATCCAGAGGGCGGGTGGGGGGGGGGGGGGGCACGGGGTCATGGCCCTCCTTAGGCCCCGAACGGGCACTTCGGCTCCAAGGGGACCATGGCCGGCCGAACTGACGCAATTTTTTACACAGAACGCAGCAGTGTTGGGCGTCTTTGGGCCTCCAGGCGACCAACAACAGTTGTAAGCGAAAGTAAAGAGCCCACGAGCAGACGAAAATTATTCCTTACGGATCGAGAGGGTGGTAATTGCGAAGGTCTTAAGACTACTTACGCTGTCCATAGGCCCTACGCTGTTTCCGGGGACCCTATACGTCAATATGCGTGGTCAACCTGATTGTTGAGGGCTCTTCTACGTTGCCCTTGATTTCTTTGCATTCACTCGGAGGGCGCTGCGCTGTTGCTGGGGTCCTGCCTGCTAGCGTGCTAGGACACTCTTTTTCAATCAGGGACCTCCAACGGATTCTTTCCATTCATCCAAAACACTCTATACGCTAGTCAGGGACCCTATATGTTGACATGCCGGGGTATTCTTGTTTGCTCAGGGACCGTTCACGCTGGTCATGGTTAATCTTCTGGCACACTCACAATATGCTCATGGGCCATCCATACATATTGGTTTAGGGCTCTTCCAATTTTCTGTCACTCTCTTAGGGGCCTACGCTCTTGTCTGGGGCAATTTGTCAACCTGCTTGGGCTCACTCGGCTGTTTGGGGACATCCAAATTGGGTCTTGAGCATTTCTTACCTAGATGGAGGGCCCTTTGCACTTGTCGGGGCCCCTATCTGTTAACCTGTTCGGGTGCACTGAATTCTTCGGAGGCCCTGCACATTGGGTTTCGGTATTTTAATGTGCGGTCCTACACTCCTGTCGGGGCCATCTGATGGCCTGCTTGTGTGCACTCGATCTTTCGAGGGCCCTCCTTACTGGGTTTTGGGTGTTCTTTTTTATTTGAATGGAGGGCCCCACGCTCTTGTCGGGGCCCCATTTAATAACCTGCTCGGGCACACTCGATCGTTCGGGGGCCCTGGTCGATGGGTCTTGGGTACTTTCTATCTGAATGAAGGGCCCTTCTTCACTCTTGTCGGGGGCCCTATCTGTTAACCGGCTCGGGCACACTCGGTCGTTCGGGAGCCCTGTACATTACGTCTTGAGTGCTTCCTATTTGAATGGAGGGCCCTACGCCCTTGTCTGGGGTCCTCTCTGTTAACCTGCTCTGGTCCATTCGATCGTTTAAAGGATTGTGTCGTCGATATGTGTTATTTGAATGGAGGGCTCTATGCTCTTGTCAGGGCCCCTTTTGATAACATGTTCGGGCACACTCAATTGTTCGGGGACCCTCTACATTGTGTTTTGAGTACTTCCTATTTGAATGGAGGGTCCCACGCTCTTGTCAGGGGCCCTATCTGTTAACTTGGTTCGGTACACTCGATCGTTTGGGCCCTCTTTGTTGTGTCGTGGGTATTTATTATTTGAGTGGAGCGTCCTACGGTCCTGTCCCCCCCCCCCCCACAATCTGTTTCTTGCTCTGGCACACTCGATTATTCCTGGGCTCTCCATGTTGTGTATTGGGTGCTTCTTATTTAAATGGATGACCCTGTATTATTATTGGGGCACTATCTATCAAACTGCTCGGGCCAATGGCGGATCCAGAAGAGGGAGGACGCCAAACTGTGCTCGCCCTTGCGACCCTTGGGGACCCATAGACTAAACGGGCGCATGACCAGGCGATGGGGCGCAGCTTTCAAAAACAAAACGATACAATTGACGTCTTTGGGCCTCCAGACGACCAATAACAGTCACAAGTGAAAGTGAAGCCGACAGATAAATGAGCAGACAAAGCCATTTTGTTGTACAGAGGCGTTACGCTGTTTTCGGTGCCCTATATGTCTACTTGCCAGATCAATCCGATCACTAGGAAGACTTCCATGTTGCCTTTGATCTCTGCATTTTCTCGTAGGACCCCACGTTGCTGTTGGGGCACTATCTGCTCACATGCCTGGGCATTCTTGATCGATCAGGGGCCCTCCACGGATTCTTCCCATTTGCCCGAAAGGCTCCATACGCTTTTGTTGGGGCCTCATATGCTGGGCGGACTCATTTACTCAGGGCCCTTCATATTGGTCTTGGAATCTTTCCACTTCCTTGGAGGGCCTTATGCTGTTGATGGGGCCAATATAAGACGGGGCACTGGCCACTCGATGCTCAGGGGCCCTCTTCATTGATCTCTGGCACTTTCCTCCTGATCTCGTTTACGGAGGACCCTTCACTCCCATCGTAGCCCTTTCCGTTAACCTACCCGGGCGCTCTTGATCGCGCGGGACATTCATTCATGCACACTGGTCTTCGGTGCGCACCCGCACACTGGCCCCTTTGCTCAAAGGGCCCTTTTGCTCTGGCTGGCGCCCTATGTCAGCCCGTCGGGGCACTTCAGATCGTTCAGGGGCCTATCACGATGGTCTTGTGCTTTTCTCGCCTGCTTTGAGGACCCATGCTTGCTAACAGATGCCTCCTTGTCGGGCCTGCCGGCACCCATGATCGCCCAGGCTTAGTCGCTGTTGGTCTTGGTGCCTTGGCCTTAGAGCAGCAGCCGGAAATGCACCGATGAATGTTTAGGCGCGGTTGTCGAACATAATTTCACGTGCCGCCGACGTCGTATGCGATATTTTTGTTGGTTATTGAATTTGTTACACCTAGTATACTTGTGCATCACATTCCTATACATTGTATGCAATCCATTTTAATGCTAGGATATTTTGTACTCCATTATAACAAATGAAGCAAACACTCTGCATTAGTCATCAGCTATCAGCTGATCACATCGACCAGCCCGCTTGCTCTAAATATGTTTTGAAATTAAGTTCGTGCTTGATTTTAATGGTATTTAGCAGCCAACCTTAGCTTGTTCGCTATTTTTCGACAACCTTAGCCCTAAAATGACAGGATTCACAATGATCTGAAGAAAACGAATAAGTTCCAAGGCTGTGCACGCGCAGCCCGCCTGGTTTTCTGGGGATGCGCACAGCAAGACGGGTTTCCGTATAAAGATAACACACTAATAATATAAATATTTGCATGGCATGGGCATGGGTGAAACCACCGCAGTGTTGGGAGCATTCCCCCCATATATTTACGTGATAGGTTTTAACCCGTCCCCATTTTTGGCGTAGAATGCACGTGCCTCCCGTTTTCCCAATCGAAATGTAATTTTCAGGTCAGATTGCCCCTCAGATTCCGGACTGACCCCTCTGATCTTGATCCCTCTGTCTCATCTCAGATACGCAGCAACACCCATGGGTTCGTCTACGGCGAAGTGGGCGGAGCAGACGGGCTAAGTCCGGTCGCTTTTCCGGACATCAAATTCAGTCCAGATGCTCTTTACTGGCCAGACGGCAAATACAATTAGATAAATGGCCCCATTTCCGACAATTCCGGATGCGCACCTAAATGTGCGCGGGAAAGTCACGATGACGGATCCGCAAGAGCCCTTTGCATGCGAGTTCCTCTTCTAGATCAGCTGGAATGCGCCTGGTCATTAAAAACACATTCCAGTGACTCGCCATCTTGTCGAGCGGGTACAGCAATATGTGTGAGAACATTTCGCATGACTACTGGAGATACGGCAGAATCGTGGTGCTGACGCTGCCGGATACGACACTGAAGCGCCAGCCGCCATTTCGCTTCAACGACGGCATGTCCCGAGTGGCTTCACCGAGGGAGGCCTACCGTACCCGTGTTAACACGCGTCTGGGCGGGGGGGGGTGGGGGGGGCGGTTGAGTACTCTTTGCTCCGGTGGGTGGTCAGTTTGACACACAGAGATCTCGAACACTAAGAGCTAAGGAACCAAATTCACAGGATGGTTTGGCGGGTAATGTCATCCGATGGGTAGCTTTATCATCGGCACCAATGGCATGCCGATGTCATGTTCTGGTCGGGCGCGGGGTCCGCCCAAGGCGTCCAGCCACCTCTCGCAAGATTCGTTTTGCATTGTCTCCCTCCAGGCGTCTTTGGCCATCCGATAATTGTGCTTTATTGCTTTGATTTCCCCGCCATTGTAGCCTGAATTGCTCATTTCCACAGCGCCTTTCGGCTCTATCATTGAAAATCCGTTAAATTGCATTGCTCAGGCGAGACGAGCCGAGCGAGCGCGAGGCAATCAAACATCACTTAGCGTACGGGGAAACGCGGCCCGCATACGAAAAGAAGTCAGATGAATGAATCCGTCCGCACAGTACCACTCAGTCGAAAACGAATGGCTTCCGGCGCAGACAAAATGGCGAACAATATGCTCGCTGTCGCTGAATATTTGAATGATCTTTTTTCCCTGCCATCCTACTCAGGTCTGAAGCACAGTCTACAGTGATTGACTGGTCCATGAATTGAAAAGGAGCCTCGCTCTGTTTGACTGAGTTCCCATAGTAGTGAGCTCGCGACTGACGCCTGAGTGCCCAGGTTTGAAAAAGGCTCAAGAATTGTGTGATCATGCCCTGGAGGCGATAGGCCCATGTAACACCTCCACGGAGTACAGAGCTCCACCTCCGAGGTGAGTTATTTGTGACAAACTTCAGCTAGTGCTGATCCGTTCACGTCGCTGTGAAACAAAACGACCAAGTGAGAACCAAATCATGCCTGATTTAGCGGTGTTAGAAGTCCTTGTTCAGCAGCACTCCATCACGTAACATCTCATCACATTAAGGCCCCGGGCTCCCATCGCAGTCCGTCTCGCCAACCACCAACGGATCAACAGTGCACGGCTCACGCCGCAACAGAAACATACCACCGAACAAGCGCCAGAACGTAACAGCAATCCGTCTACTGTAACAGCTCAGCCTGCCACTCTGTAACAGCACGGGACCAGCCAGGCAGCCAAGGCACCCGAACACTCTGACCTCCACGTGACAGTGAAGTCCTGACATCGCCCAACAGCACCCGTGGTGACGCTGGCTTTTAAGCACAGCCACTGCCGTGTCAAACAGATTCAACAACACCAGTTAAACTGCGTTGTTCTCGCAGCACCATCCCGGCATTCGATTCCGCTCTCGGCGTCCTTTACTAGCCACTAGCGCACCACGCGAAGACCGGACCGGACCGGATCGCCGTCATCTAACTGAGCCGCCGCCCCCGGCGCGAGGACGGCGGCGTTCATCACACGGTCGTCTCCCACTGGGCCCAGTAGGAGGCCGTCTGCATCTCGGCCAGCCGCGAGACGGTCCGGTCGAACGCGAACAGCTCCTCCTCGCCGGTGAAGATGCTGGCCACCTCCAGCTGCGGCCGTCGGAACGGGGTCAGAGCGTGCGCCGCGCCCGACTACCCGGACCGCACGCGAAGACAGTGAACGGACGCTGCCACCAAGGGCCAGACGCTGTCACGGACACGGACACACGCAACATGACATGGTCATCATCCATTGCGTGATGCGAGGGCAGTCCCCCATACCCCATACATCAGGCGCATCTGAATTCTATTTCTAGCACTGTCTGCCACCTCCCATGGGGCACACTGGGCAGACGCGTCTAAATGACTGCAAAGATCTACGTGCTGTATATATGCAACACAGCCGTGCTTCCTCCTCTCCCTGACGAGTTACTCACCGACTCATTTCCCAGCGCCAGGTCGTCCATGAGAGCACGCTTGTCGTCGCTGACGTCGGTGTCCTTGGCGGCGGAAAACAGGCTGGAGAGCGGCGCCTCGGCCGTGATCACCACCCGCACCTGGAGCAGCGGCATCGACGGTCACCGGCGAGGAGGGGATCACAGCAACAAGACCGCGGGTGACAACCTCGGTCACCGGCGAGAAGGGGATCACTGTCGGACACACGTGTGCGGACCGCGGATGACACCGACGGTCACCGGCGAGGAGGGGATCACTGTCGGACACACGGGTGCCCGCGGATGACAACCGACTGGTCACCGGCGAGGAGGGGATCACTGTCGGACACACGTGTGCGGACCGCGGATGACACCGACGGTCACCGGCGAGGAGGGGATCACTGTCGGACACACGTGTGCGGACCGCGGATGACACCGACGGTCACCGGCGAGGAGGGGATCACTGTCGGACACACGTGTGCGGACCGCGGATGACACCGACGGTCACCGGCGAGGAGGGGATCACTGTCGGACACACGTGTGCGGACCGCGGGTGACACCGACGGTCACCGGCGAGGAGGGGATCACTGTCGGACACACGTGTGCGGACCGCGGGTGACACCGACGGTCACCGACGAGGAGGGGATCCTCGCCGGTCCCAAGTGCGGGCGTAGGGGGTGGAGAGACAACTGCGAGGATCACGCGTGGGGACGGAGCGATATTTTCACCGGTCACACGTGAGAGGGACGTCGCGCCTGGTCCGATACGGGGGAGCGTACAGAGCTGTACGGCGCGTGGCTGACTGCTCACCCGGTGGTCGTACAACGTGTCGATGAGTGTGATGAAGCGGCGCGCCTGAGCCCGCCTCTTGGCGCTCAGCTGGGGCACGTCGCGTATGATGACCGTGTGGAAGAACTGCGCCATCGTCAGGTAGTCGGCGGCGCCCAGCGGCTGTCGGCACGCCGGCGTCAGGTCAGGTCAGGCCACGGCCCGGTCGTCAGCAGCACAGCCGCGCCCGTCTGACAGAGACCGCAGGCCCGACCGAGGGCGACTCACCGGCGGCTGCCCCACAGACGACGTGAGTGCTTCGCGGGACAGGCGACGCCGCGGTGAAGCAGCCATCCTCCGAGAGAGGAGTGACCCGGGGCCTCTCGCGGCGGTGAAGCAGCGATCCCTCGAGAGAGGAGTGACCCGGGGCCTCTCGCAGCGGTGAAGCAGCGATCCCTCGAGAGAGGGTGAGAGAGGGGGGGGGGGGACCTCTCCTGGTACGGCGCCTGTCCGGCGCGGCGGCAGCTCCAGCTCACTGGGGACTGACCCGGTCGCAGAGCTCGGCGAAGGTGCAGTCGGCCACCTGCCCGCACGTGCGCTCAAACTGCACGTTGCGGCCGCGCACGTTCAGCACGCGCGGCCGCACCACGTCCGTCTCCTGGGCGCAGAGCACCTTGAAGAGCCGCTTCACTCCCGCCTCGGCGTCACCATCCTGCGTCCTGTCAAAGGAGCCTGGTTGGCTTAAGTCATTCTGGCGCTTAACGAGTGGGCTTATCGGCGACATGCATAGTTTGTGATGGTTTGTCTGGCACTCAAGAGCATAGCACTGTCGACTCGGAAAGCACGCCCATGCATCGCGCCGAAGCCGGCTGCACAGCGGAGCAGAACGAGGTCAGCAGGAATTTGCATGCGCTGGGGCGACCATGATTTCCGACGGGAGCCAACGGCAACAAAGTCGCTGTTTTGCAGTAGAGAAACCCATGCGCATTTTCTCATACCAAAGGCAACTGCTCCTGAAGTACAAATGACACTATCACATTTCGAGAGAGCCTAACAATTTCCAGCTACCTTGCGACATTTGCGAAGTGTATATCCAGTTATTGATACGCAGCGGAGCATTCGAAAGTCCGATTGTCCGATGTCTGAATTCATTATAAGTGACGGTGCGTGGCACTCAAGACACACCAATCATCTCACAATTTCTGCAACCCCAAACCTATGTCCAGCCGGACTCACAGAAAGTAGGTTTTCTGTTCGCTGGTCTGGCCCTTAAGCCGGTAGTCGATACCCGAGTCGAGACACTGGACGTGGCAGCGCGCCTTCAGCACAGGAATGAAGGGCACGAAGTTGGCACGCTGCAGTCCGTTCTTGTACAGGTCATCCGGCGGGCGATTGCTGGTGGCTATCATGATGACGCCGTTGTTGAAGAGCTCGGTGAAGAGCCGCTTCAAGATCATGGCGTCGGCGATGTCAGTCACCTGGGACAGCAGATTACAACCCACATCAAGGATGCTGCTTCCTTCGTAGCCAAGAGTCCGGGTAAACACCATACGAAGATGCGGCAGGTAGATAGAAAAACATCCGTAAAGTTGGCTCTGTTGAAAAATAGCAGAGGGCCCTGTGTGCATGGCGGTAACACCCACTACATCTCGGGAATGTGCGCCCGTCTGCTCCCGTGCCGTGCCAGCCACAGGCTTACCTGGAACTCGTCGAAGCAGATGAGCCAGACCTCCTCGGCGATGGACTCGGCCACCGGCCGGATGGGGTCGAACGGACGTGGCCGCGTGTCGCCGTGCTGGCGCGCCACACGCGCCTTCGCCTCGTGAATTCGTCGGTGCACGTCCAACATGAAGGCGTTGAAGTGGACGCGGCGCTTCTGCGGCGTGGCGCAGCAGTCGTGGAACAGGTCCATCAGCATGGTCTTGCCGGTGCCGACGGTGCCCCAGAGGTAGAGGCCGCGCGGGCTGCGCGCGGCCGGCGCGCCGAGCGACAGCAGGCGCGAGAGGAGGCCGCGGCGCGGCGGCGCGTAACCGTCCAGGCTGTGGAAGATGCTCTCCAGCCGCTCGACCACTGCCTCCTGGTACGGGTCGGCGTACAGCGAGCCGTCGGCCAGCCGGCGCCGGTACACGGCCATCGGGCCGGCCGCCGACGATGAGCAGTGGCGCACGGTCGCCGACGGCCGGAGCGGCGGTGAGAGGGCGACAGCACGCCACGCCGCCTGCAGCCGCACCATCGCCTGACCGACAGCGGATGGGCTGTGTGAGCCGGTGTGTTGGAATGTCTCCTTTCCTTTTGTTATATATATATATATGTATATATATATATATATATATATATATATATATATATATATATGTTAGCCTGCATCTATGCATATAACTTCATTATCCCTCCTCATATAATAGTGTACATGAAGCCATATGCATTTTGAACACTACAAAAATACAAAATATTACCCACAATGCTAAAGGGTGAGAGCCCTCACTTATTGTCCTAAATATGGACCAGGCACAACAAACAAAATGTGTTGGCTTTCAGCATGAAGTGATGCTGAAGAATAGAGGATATAAGCATGCTGCACTGTTTTTAAGCTTCGCGAACCAGCACAACATTTTCATTTATAACTGTAACATGAATGTGGCTGCCCATTTCAACCTCATCTGGGCTCTATTTAAGTAGGTCATATTTTATCTAGTGTCACAGCTGTGAGATTTCACATAGAGGCATCATTGGGAGTGGGCCAAAGGCTTTTGTCACTTCCACCCACCTGGGGTTTCGTGTTAAGCACCACTATGGAAAAACTGTTCTTTGTTGGTAGAAATCATACCAAACATTTTGGAACACCAAGTTCATGTATGGAAAAAAATTAAATGATGAATTTCATAAGGGCACTGAATATTGCAATTTACCTTGTGCCTCAGCCAACTCAGCATAGCTTTAACACTAGGTCTATAGTATGGATGCTGCCTTGGCTGAAACATTCTGATTAACTACCAGTACCAGCAAACATTTTGGTATCCTAACAAAGGATATTTATGGCCCACACAAGTAACCTCATCTCAAAGAATGAACAGGTCATACACCACAACCAAATATCCAGGCCACAAAACATCCCTTCACTGTATCATTCAGCCTTTTTATGCCAAACTAAAATAAGATGGAAGTGCTGTAATCTTTCAAATTATTTAGTGTGGTGTTTTAGGAGCAACCCTGCCCGAAATTACCATCACATCATATTCCTTGAAACATAGGCTCCCTGTGAAATGATATTGATGAAATTATGTACCATACTCTTACCACTCGAATGGACTGTGTGCATGCACTGGAATTTTTACAGAAATGTTGTAGCTATGCCCTACACGTACAGCATAACGAGCATTTCCAGCATCACGGCATACATCAAGAGCAGGGAACGCCCACGTGAAAATGAGATCCAGACCATGCCATATTATTATAAGATACACAAAATTGCACCACTTACTCATTTTCAGTGCAGATTTTGAGTCGTGTTCCTCACCATGGTATAACACTGCGTACGACCATGACCAAAGGTAACTTTCTTACCCTATATCCGCGCAGCCCCCTTGTGCAACCAGTCCCAAAGCACGACAGGGCCAATCTCCCTGTTTCACCAATGGACCTGCATGGAAGTGTCTCATGTGCGCCAGAACTGTAAATAAAAGGCACAACTTTTTTTGTTATCTCATTGAATTCATGACGTTTTGTTCATAATATCTCTGAGATCTTATTTGAATGTGTTTTAAGCATTTCTTACCATATTTTCGCTGCTGTGAACAACTGAACAACGTGCTCTAAACGACACAATGAGGGTGTCACTTTTCGATTTTTTTGGCCAGGTGGCAGCAGCAGGTGGTAGCTATGTAGCTTGATAGATGGCGTGGGTGACCGCCGGCGCCAGTCTTATGCCGGGGTGGGTGGTGTAGTATATTCGTCCAGCGGTTCAGCTCATCTCGGTCAGATAGGGGCGTGTGGCGATGCGGCGGTCTGTATTGGACCGAGTCCAGAGGCGTACTGCCCCTGCTATCCCAGGCAGGCACGACATTACATTCAGTTCGGGTGAACGACCACCCATAAGTCAGCTTGCACTTTGCAAGCACACGTACCTATCACACGTCCCGTACAGTCCGCCACGGGGCGTCGATCGGCGCCCGCGGTGGTAGGTCGCATTCCACCGTGCGGCCGAGGTCGCGCCTCGACACGGCAGGGACGGCATGCTGTGCCGGCGGGCCGGCTGGGCGTGCTCACAACAGGTGGGCTTGGAGTTTGTGTACCCGTCCGCACCAATGTCTTCTGCAGAGAGGGCGTTTAGAGGGCAGAAGCTGTCCTGAAAAAGCTTCGCGGAAAAGGCTGCATGTAGAGTTTAGACGTCAGCTTGAACTTCAACTAAACTGGGGCTCCCTTGCATTGTTTAGTTTGGCCCTACCCCAACCCTATTTCAAAATATTGCGTCCGCTCCTGGATCCACCCTCACGAACAACTGGAAGCTTGTCCTGGCTGTCATATAGCTAAAATTTTCGTCACGTGTTTGGGGGGGAGGGGCTAGATGCATAATCCTGCTCCACTCATCGCTCGGCGTGGTGGTCGGTGGAGCGCAGCGGTCGGCTGAACAACGGGCACTATAGTAAGGGCTACATGCGCTCTCGGTAAGACAGCGAGTGACTCACCTTTGATTCCGTCTTCCTCACCGGCCTCGTCGGTGATGCGTACCAGCCGACCCGCGTGCGCGCGCACAGCGCGTCGCCCAGTGAAGAAGTTTTGTAAAATAGGTTTGGGGAAGGGCTAAATGCTAAAAATTGCTAACCCTACAGCATCAAAATGCGTACCAGCCGGGGTTCCCTTCTGCTTTCTGCTCAATGTTGGCGGCTTAAGCCCCTAACGAAAAAAAACTTCCTCCGGTCAGCCAACTCTGCCTAGCTATGCATTCGACAGACAAAGATGGGTTTACAAGACAGGTTTTTCAGCCAAATCCACCGCGTGCAGATGCTGGGAAGGAAAGAGCACAGTATTGCTTTACGGCAAGATGAAAAAGAGGACCATTTTCGCGGAGAAAGAGAGCGACGATTATCACGCTTATCTTATCTATGTTAAGATAGAAAAACCAGATTCTGTTCAGAACAAGGCGCGTCACGTGTGCAGCACGACCCGGGAACATTCGGAAGTTGGGACGAACGACCGATCACGATCAGTCACAGTTCGCTCGGGACACGGCACGCAGTGTGCGGCACGGTAGGGGCGAGAACGAGGCGCGGGCCCTAGCACAGGTTGGGGAGTAATGCCCACTTTCACTGCCCGAGCAAGCCGTCGTGTTGAAGCGCCGGGTCTCGAATTGGGGTTGCGGCCTTTACCCAAACGTTGTGGGGTAGGGGTCAGGTTGTATGTTCTGCAGCAAAGGGCACGGTGGGCTGGCGAGTGCCATCGGTACGTGGCGTCTGCACCTTGTCCAGAGTAGAGCCGATATCGTCAATTTCGTCGTTCTGTAGACGACAATCTGTTCCAGACGATTGATCTGTCTCTCGAGATCCGTATGGCGCGTGGTTTCGCGCCGATACCGTATCAACCTTACCGCTGTTTTTCTTCACGTAGACGAGCTAGTATTTGCTTGCAGCTGGTCTTGGAACTGATGGCATGACGCTTAAGGAGAACCAATCCGGGTGACGAGAGCAGCGACGACGGTGAGAGCTCCCGGGCACCGTTCAATGTTCACGAACATTTCGTGCCGAATTTTGTTCGTCGAAGAGCGCAAAAGAGATATGATTGAATGCGGCGTATCAGGTAAAACTGTCTCTCATAGGCCCTTGATCAGTCCCTTGGCTTCCATCGCCGGGAGGGACGGAGCGTCATACGATCCCGCTACACCACTCGAGCGTGAAAACTTCCCCGTGGATAATATGGCGTCGTATGACTAGTGGGGATTCCCAGGCTCGTCAGGAACGTTCTCAGCTAGGCTGACGTAAACGCCGCGACTAGTGGGAATTCCCAGGCTCGTCAGGAACGTTCTCAGTTAGGCTGACGTAAACGCCGCGACTAATGGTGATTCCAGCCCTCGTGAGGAACGTTCTCAGTTAGTCTGACGTGAAAGTCGCGACTGTCGGCGATTCCCAGGATCGTCGAGGACGTTCTCAGGTTAGGCTGACGTGAACTCCGTGACTACTGGGGATTCCCAGGCTCGTCAGGAACGTTCTCAGTTAGGCTGACGTGAACGCCACGACTAGTGGGGATTCCCAGGCTCGTCAGGAACGTTCTCAGTTAGGTTGATATGAGCGCCACGACTGGTGGGGATTCCCAGGCTCGTCAGGAGCGTTCTCAGTTAGGCTGACATGAACGCCGCGACTAGTGGGGATTCCCAGGATCGTCAGGAACGTTCTCAGTTAGGCTGAACGCCGCACCTCGATCTGAGTGCACTCCACCTGACATTCCGAAAATTGAAGACAGGTGAGTGAGGCACCCTTTTACTGTAGCGAAACTCACGTGTCGATGAGGACAGGCAAACGGGAAAGCATGTATTGAACAACGCGGCAGTTTTCAGCCCAGCACACTCCTAAGCCAAGGAATTTAAATTACAGGGGGGGGGGGGGAGGGGAACAAGAATGGACGCTTCCCAGCCATGACAGGGTACCCTCATGCCAAGCAAATCAAGACAGGATGTACTACAAACGTAGGTGCTTTCTAATTCGATCCCAAAAATCTTGGCAGGCGCAAGACGACTTCCAATCCCATTAGGTCCAGCTGAGATGACGTGAATGGGAACAATCTACAATCACTCATTTCGAAACCTATCGCACACTCGATCCGCAAGCAAATAGGACCATCGGACCGCTAATTTGCTGTGCTTGCTGACTGCGGAATCAGAAGCAGCCATCGCAGGGTAGAGCCCAGGTGTCCCAGCTTGCAGACGACAATCTCGCGGATCTGCTTCACAAAGGCGATGGCGAACACGGGATCCAGCGAGAAGTGCAACGCCTCCACGTTGTTGCCAATAGCTCGGTACATCTGAAAATAAGATCACGGTCGATAGTAAATTCAGTGGCGAGCCGTTCCGGTCGGTGGTGCAGGTCAAAACATCACCAGAGGCGCGTTCTAAGATCCTGCGGAAGCTTATCGCTGGCTGTATAAAACTGCTCTTTGCTCAGGTATTTCATATTTAGATGCAATAACTGTTTGCGCTATCACTATCCCTCGTTAAGTGTTATGCCGCAACCACATAACGTTTCAGCCCGTGCATTCTAGGGTCGTCGTCAGATGCTCTTTGCCCCTGAAAAGGGCTGGGTGGTGTCTGGCTTTCAGCAATGCACGCGGTACGCGTCTCCGTGAGACTGCTAGGATTCGAATCGGGGTCGTCTGATTTCAAGTCCAAGGTTCTACTATCAAGCTAATCGGGAAAGACAATCTGTCGCTGTTGAAACTTCCTATTAGTCATTTCCTGGATTTTGAGGTTTTCCACGGAATTGCAAGATATGTTGGGGTGAAGCCTACTCTTGGCTTGCTGGCGAGATTGTTGGCCAGTGTCGTGTGTGCTGATTTTCTTCTGTTCTGTTTTGTTCTGGTGACCATGGTCCTTCTGACCGTGCCTGCACTACCACATAGACTTCAGAGACTCATCCCAGATGGCTATCTTCCTGCACTCCTCCAGTCGGACCAATAGAGGGACGTGTTTCTCCTATGTAGCATCTATCACAATTTCATGGCATGTTGCAGCGAACTGAAGATCGCACCGATCCTGTATCGCTCACAGGTGCTTCTGTTCTTGTCTGCCAGGCCTCTGTTGTTGGAAAATCACACCGTTGCCGTTGGTTTTCTTTCCGTCGCCCTGCTTCCTAAACATATTCTTTGGATTTTTTGTGTGAAGCCTTTTGGGTATGATCACTCCCACGGAATGCCTCGGCTAAGCTGTTGAGTTTTCTATTCCTGACTGCACCGCTGATGACACTTGCGCTGGATTCATCGCTGATGACACTTGCACGATGTTCAAGGCATCTTGACAGTATCCGGGTGGTGTGACTAGAGGTTCTGACGGCGGTCGATTGCTGTTGGTTTCTGATACACCGATGTTCTGAGCTTGATGTCGGTTCATTTGACTTGTAAGCTTAGGAACAGTAGCCTGTTGTTATGGTCACATTACGTAGCAAACCGAATGGAGAAAACTTTGACGCCAGCAGACTGTCTTCCCCAGTTACCCCAGTGGTAGAACTCCAGACTCGTCATTGAAAGACTCCGTTACAAATATCAGGATTTCCACAGGGAAAAGTTAGGTTGTAACGCGTACATGGCGGCAAAAGCACAAACAATGTAGTTTTTCTCAGAGCTCAATTAAACTCGGCAACGGTGGGAGAAATGATCGATGTAAAGGGCGCATAAATTCGCACCCAACAGCTGTACATAGTCTGCAGAAATATTTCATCTGTGATACTAATATTTTGTCTGAATTATGCCACGAAACCTAAACTTAACGTTACAAAAATTCTGTCTAATTTTCTTTATTGCTCAGAATTGCCTTACGTTATAAGAATTCAGGGAATGCCTGAAAAATGTTTGTAATTTGTGGCAATAACAGGCATCGTTTACACGAGCATTTGTGGTGTAGACACATGTGTGATGAGCTCATCACTGGCGTTGCAAAAATAAGGACGCCTTATGTAAAACGCCACTGTTATTCAGAAAGCAGTGCATTGTTACGAATTACAAGAACACAGAAGCCAAACAAGGTCCCGAACACTTGGAACCATTGGTCGCAGTATGAGAGGATACATGTGGGATGTTTTTGTCGGTTTTATTCTCGATATACAGTTTAATTCACTATTAACCAATATCTGAAAGATCTAGTGCGAAAAGAGATGTGCGCAACAGCTGGAGAATCAAAGATAAACAACAATCTAGGCCGGGTAGACGGTCTCTGGCCACTGTCACCGCTCACTGTGCTGGAGGCTACGTCTACCACAGCACCTGGCGTAGCCCAAGACAAGACTGTTTGCTGTGAACACCAGCTAGAGCACTAGTGCAGCAGGTGAACTACGGTCAACTGCTGCACTAGTGCGCAGTACACAACAGTCACGAATTAGCAACGTAACATGATTCCATCAGAGCGGTGAGTTTTTCCCACCAACCCCGGGCACCTTCGTTGTATTGCTCTTTGTCTTCCTAATCAGCCTCTCCTGCCCCCCCCCCCCCCCCCCCCATTGCCCCTGCTCCTGCAGATTAGAGCGACAAACGTCTATCAGAAGCGTGCAGTCAATGCAAAATATTTCATGGACAAAAAACAGACATGGAGGCAGGGAAAAAAACCCAATACTTTCTTATGAGCAGCGACCAGGGCTTGGTGAGAGCGCATCAGTACAGCCACCACTTTCCGCCCGAGGCCGTCTGTCGTTAAAAAAATGCAGGCCTATGGAAAAGGAAGGCCGCCAAACCCTTGGCTATCACCCTGGTCACAGACATACCATTGCATGTCTGATACGTGGGCAGTAAACAGAGACCCCGTGCGTATGCATTGAAACATCCACTTATCTACCAAGACTTGCTTTTCTTAAGCCAATTTATCCTCTTGCCTTTACGATGCGTTTTTGTCTATAATATGTGACAAGCCCTTTGCTCAAACGAGTAGGTACTGCTCATAAGCCATTAATGCAGAAAACCATGGGCAAAAATTAGGATGTGGTATGCTTTTCTTGGCGGTACATGCAATTAATGGAATGTGTCGTCTGACACGTATGAGAACGTCTTATTCTAACCCGTTTCCTGGCGAGCCACCCATTTCTCCGTTTCTCGATTCCAGGCAGGCGGATGCACATTCCACACACTCTTTCTGGAACCTCGAAAACTATTAAACCGGTTTCAGAAAACCAAACGGTGCTTTGATTTGCATCGACAGTGCCTTAATTCTATCCAGCTTTCCAAAAGAAGGGAGTAGGGATGCGTAATTGAAGCGTGTTCTACTGCCCGCAGCCATCAGCTGACGTCCCGTTCTTGGTGGTCACGGCCTCCCTGTACCGCAATCCCATCTCCAGCCTTTTGCCTTTTCTGGATTCGGCTCTAGCATGATTTGCATATGTCGCTGTTAAAACAGAAGTGAAAGACGCAATGCGGTACTCTATTTTAAGTCCTTAGGTTTCCGATAATATGAGCCAACCTCACCCCTATCCTGGAAATGCTTCCGCGCCAAAAATTGTCCCTCCAGCTTCGCACGTGCCAGATGTTCTTATGTTACCCATTCATAGCACCATTGTGCTGGCTATATTACTATGTTATGATATGATGCTATGCTATGCCATGTTATGATACTGTGATGCTATGTCGTGCTATATTGCTATACTGGCTATGTTATGCTTAGGACGATATTGCATTTTGTTTCCCAGGGACCTGATAACGCCTTTGTTATCGTGCAATGCGCACATCGTTTGAAAAACGAGATGCGCATTGAAAAGGGTTGTCTGAAGTGCGAAGCTTTGCATGCAGATACCAGTAAGTATATGTTATATGCTTCCAAGTTATCCATTGTACCCATGATGTGTTGGTGGACCATAATGCATTTCATCCTTTTTTAAAACTTTTCATTTTTTAGCCTTGGAACCGCCTCTGCCGTGCCATTTTGCTGTCTTATCTCTCTCTTGTGTCATGTCCTATGCTGTCCAGCCACCGCAAGTATTAGTTTCACCAAAACCGCAACACATCGAGAATAATTTCGGATAGACTGCTACCATCGCATGATTGCCGAATTTCACTGATGGGCTCTCCCAAAACTGCTCCCTGATGCCACCTCTGCGCTTGCCATGTGACCGATGTTTTGACTAAAGTGCTTCAAGAAGACATTTAAAATTGGTCCGAAACTGTCAACGGCCCACTCCAAGCCGTTTTGGAAAAACCAGCGAAAAATCAGGGGGTGTGGACGTAATCTGCCCGCACGTGGCAGGAATAGACTTAAAAGTTCTCACCTTCACCTGTTTCGGTTTCAGAGATCTACAACTCACTTTCTTTCATCAGTCGCATTTTCTCTTTTCACAGCTCTAAAATGTTTCATATTTGATCAGCTAGCGGATCCCGGTAACATCCCCGACGCCTCTGGACCTGAATGCACGGTAATTTTAAGCTTGCACGCCAGATGTGACGAATTTTACTGGCGCAGTTTAGCTGTTCAAATCTGTAGCACCAGCTGGTGAGCAGCCCAGAGGATGCCAATCGTCATGTTAGATGAAGCAATGCTTCAGGATCTGGTCTAATCTGTCTTGTAGACATTTTGTTGGTCCTTCATCAACAACTGGTCTAGCACATTTTGTTGAAAGCAGTGAGTATACTTTTTGTTTCAAATGCTGTAGCCGACACAATTCAGAACGACATGCTATATAAACATTTAAGATGCTGCTAACAGGTCAGAATAACGCCAGCCTCTCCCTGTTTCAGATGCTTAAGTATTCAGACAGCACTCCCGCACGAAGAGTGATTCAGCCCAGAAAAGCTGTCTGTGGCTTCGGCGGCTTACCTGGAAGTAGAAGTTGTGGCTTTCGTCGTACGCCATGTCAAGGATGATGACGACCGACTGCATGCAGTTGGAGACGAGACAGGAGACGGCCATGGCGGCCAGAAGGAACTCAAGCCGGTTCTCAGTGTCCTGGCGCCGCTTTTGTCGCTGCCGCACCTCTCTGCAGCAGCTGCCGCCGGTAGCCTGGGAGACTGACCTCGCTTCTGAGGTCAGCCGCGTGCTGCGCGGCTGACTGGACGTGCCGCCACCTTCGGACAGCACGTCGGCGCCCAGCCGGAACACAGCATGGTCAGCGGCGCGCGTGCGGCGGTTTCGGCGCGAGCGGCGCGAGATGGCGACGATGATGCTGCAGTTACAGAAGAGCACGATAGTGGCCGGCAGCCAGCGGACCAACAACTGCAGCACCCACTGGTAGCACGTCCACAGCGGGCTGCTCACCACGCTGTCCTTCAACTTCAGCTCATAGAAGTCGTGCCTGCCGTCCGGACAGTGGTGCACCACCGTGTAGCCGAGAATCAGTGGCGAATGCAGCAGGAGGGAGACGGCCAGCGAGGCGACGATGCGGAGCATACGGTCGCCGCAGCGCTGCGCCGACCGCGGCTGCCGCAGCAGGTCGCGCGGCGAACGTACGGCCACGTACCTGTCGTACGTCATCCAGAGCGTGACGGCCATGCTCAGCCCGATCAGCGCGTTGGTCAGCGGCAACCAAAGTATATGCCATGCCGCCTCGACGTGCGTGCGCACGCTCACGTTGCGGCCATCACAGCTGATTGTTGACTGCCAAGACTCTGCGTGCAGGGTGGCCCCGCTTAGAACGAGCAGGGCACAGTCGGAGAGCATCAGACAGCGCAGGTAGGTGTAGACGTCGGAGGAGCGGAAGCAGGCGTGCCGCAGCGTCAGCAGCAGCATCAGACTGCCGCACACGCCGACGGCGCTGATGGCCGAGTAGCAGTAGCGGTAGCCGATGATGGCGATCCGGTCCTGGTGGGCGAGCTCGGACGTGGCGGTGCAGTTCTCGCTGCGGTCGCAAGACTCCAGTACTCCGGAGTGCAGGTGCGAGGCCGGCTGGGAGGCGTCGACCGTCGGCCGCCACATCTCGAGGGTCGCACGTTGGACGCCCGGACGTCGCGGCTCAGACGCCTTACCCCGTCCTCCTGTCACACATTCCACAGAATGGTCCAAGAGCCACCTGTTCGCAGTCGCGCCTACGCCGGCGGGGAACGGCAGCCAATCTAGCCGAATTACCTCGCTCGATGCGCAGTGGCGGTCTGCGCAGCCTGAACAGGTGTGCCGTGACAACAGAAGCCCAGGAATCAAGCGGGCCTCGCGGAAAACGCATCTGCTCCATATTAGTTTTGCTTGGGGTAGGGGCGGGGACCGGGGCGCTGCACACGATAGATTGCTACAGATTTAAAAACAGCTCGTTCATGTTGCGCAGTTGGGTGTTGCAAGATCAATATGCCCTGGCACAGATACAAAGATCATGCACCTGGTGGACCGACAGACTCAACCAGGCTGATGAAAACAATCCTCGCAGTTCTTCTGTACACTTGCCGTCAACTATACGTCAAAAAGACATGTTAGGTCCGTCAGAAAAAAGGTTTGAGCATCAGACCGCAAGCTTCGAAACAGGAACACCACGAGAAAGACCCAAAAGACGACAGCATAACGATGTTTGACATAGCGAACGCTTCCAACACCGCCCTGGTCATCTCTCGGCGAGTTAAGTACAACATGTGTACTCTAGGGTAGCGATTTCGCACGCCTAATTTGACAGCATCTCAAAATTATATACACGTCCCATGACGCAATCAAACAATTACATTTTAGGAACATTATGCGCCAAATCAATGATTTGTTTGTGTTGTGTTGTGTTGTGTTGTCTAAACCAACCTCTTCCAATCACAAGCATACTTTTAGTTACATCCAAGCTTGTTCCATCTTGTCTGATCTTTCTTCGATATTTTGTAACGTGAAACGTTCCCTTAGCGTCCGTGGGAGCAATCATGTCACGTGACCTTTTCCCGCCGACCCCCTAGTGAACCGCTGCGTCGCTGAACTCCGAGGTTCCTGAGAGCTCGAGGCCCTGAGACTGTGCATGCCAGCTGCCAGTTCTCCCTACGCTCACTCGGGTTCTCCGGCCCTCGTGGAATCACTGCGCACCGTAGTTCACCAATAGTCCGACGCGACCTGAGAGGTTTCTGATCTGGCCGGCCAGGTAGGGGTGGTGATTGCGTGGTATACCCTGTGGGCCTGTGAGAATCAACGGCCGTCATAGGAGTCGCTTTGGATGGCAATGACGTGAAGTGTGTCAGGTGCCTCAGTCAGGTCCATGGTGAGGGTAAACAGGTGGTGCCTTGCAGTTTTAGAGTTGTCTATTTCCGACCATCAGTACTCGGTTTCGGAGGCAGATGCCTTTAGTGGAGCCTGGATCGTGGGAAAGGAGCGGACACTCGTGTGGCAGTGGCGTTCAGTTCTCAGAGTCGGCAAAGCTGTCGTAACCGTACTTGATCCTGAAGGGTTCTACCAGCCCGGTAGCAGCATCATGCGGTGAGAAATCAGATACATCCCGTTTTAGGTCCGTTTAGACCCCCTCCTTCTTTAACAATGTTTGTTAAGGCACTCAGTGGGCGTGGTGTTGGATGACCTTTCTCGCCTTCCGGTGATTGGCCAATCACGGTGCGGCGACGACGGTGCGTTTATCCGGCCTGTCAACTTTGCATCTAATGCTAAAGCATATTGACCTTGCAGCATCCAACAGCGTAGCATGAACAGGTTACTTTTGAATTTTCAGTGACCTATCCGCGTCCGCCGCGCAGGGTGGATCGCTCCAGATCACTACAGATCGCGTTCACTGGGCTCAACCCCATGACAACTTCACATCGAACGAATGCATTCTGCGCGTCCCGCTCGGACTGTCAAGTGTGGGCTATCACGGCGCACCTGTCAGGGATGCACATGCCACCAGCGCCTATCGGCCGAAGTAATCCGGCCAGATGGCGCCGCCGCACGCCGCCGTACGCCGCCTCACGCCGGCAGAGGCACAGTAGAGTCTGGCTAGCCCCCGGACCATCGTGCGAGGCGAGTGGCGACCTGTGGCTGTTCTATCAGCGACGGTGCAGCCGCCGCCATGTTGGTTTTTCATGCATTTGGTCCACACATTGGCGCACTTACTTGCATCTTATTTTCATCTGTTATGGGTTAGTGTTCCGACCACAAAATTATCATTGAGCGTCTGACGAGAGGCCCGAGGGTCTGAAGGCGAAGCCTGGGTGGGTGACAGGACGACTGGGTAAGGCGTCTGAACCGCGGCGTCCGGGCGTCCAACGTGCGACCCTCGAGATGTGGCGGCCGACGGTCGACGCCTCCCAGCCGGCCTCGCACCTGCGCTCCGGAGTACTGGAGTCTTGCGACCGCAGCGAGAACTGCACTGCCACGTCCGAGCTCGCCCACCAGGACTGGATCGCCATCATCGGCTACCGCTACTGCTACTCGGCCATCAGCGCCGTCGGCGTGTGCGGCAGTCTGATGCTGCTGCTGACGCTGCGGCACGCCTGTTTCCGTTCCTACGACGTCTACACCTACCTGCGCTGTCTGATGCTCTCCGACTGTGCCCTGCTCGTTCTAGGCGGGGCCACCCTGCACGCAGAGTCTTGGCAGACAACAATCAGCTGTGATGGCCGCAACGTGAGCGTGCGCACGCACGTCGAGGCGGCATGGCATATACTTTGGTTGCCGCTGACCAACGCGCTGATCGGGCTGAGCATGGCCGTCACGCTCTGGATGACGTACGACAGGTACGTGGCCGTACGTTCGCCGCGCGACCTGCTGCGGCAGTCGCGGTCGGCACAGCGCTGCGGCGACCGTATGCTCCGCATCGTCGCCTCGCTGGCCGTCTCCCTCCTGCTGCACTCGCCGCTGATGCTCGGCTACACGGTGGTGCACCACTGCCCGGACGGCAGGCGCGACTTCTACGAGCTGAAGTTGAACGACAGCGTGGTGAGCAGCCCGCTGTGGACGTGCTACCAGTGGGTGCTGCAGTTGCTGGTCCGCTGGCTGCCGGCCACTATCGTGCTCTTCTGTAACTGCAGCATCATCGTCGCCATCTCGCGCCGCTCGCGCCGAAACCGCCGCACGCGCGCCGCTGACCGTGCTGCGTTCCGGTTGGGCACCGACGTGCTATCTGAAGGTGGCGGCACGTCCAATCAGCCGCGCAGCACGCGGCTGACCTCAGAAGCGAGGTTAGTCTCCCAGGCGACCGACGGCGGCTGCTGCAGCGAGGTGCGGCAGCGGCACCAGCGGCGCCAGGATACTGAGAACCGGCTGGAGTTCCTTCTGGCCGCCATGGCCGTCTCCTTTCTCGTCTCCAGCTGCATGCAATCGGTCGACATCATCTTGGACATGGTATACAACGAGAACAACTACTTCTATCAGGTGAGCTGTCGAAATATCACAGCTAGGATCAGAACAGCCTGTAGAAAGCCGGTGGGAGAATCTGAATGAAGTAGAGTAGCCGGGTATCAAGCCGTTTTTATCGTCTTTCTGGGTCGAGAATGCCAGAAATTTTGGCTCCTTGTACGAGGAGGAAAATGTGAGACATAGGTAACTTTGTTGTATCTAAATAACGCTTACAAATTAGCAGTACAGAAAAAGGGATCTTGTCAGCAGACACCTGCAAAATAACAGCTGATTCGTCAAAAGCATTGGGCACACCGTGGTACACCTCCAGCCGCACCACACAGCTCCTCGTATCCTGACCCCCTGTCTGGACATAACACTGCGCTGGAATGGGCACTGTCTCATCAGATGTGCGCCAAATGGCGCATATAACAACGTTTCTCCTCGTCGTTCGCGGGATGCAGAGAGCAAAGCTTGGCCTCGTTATTACATGCGGTGTCACTCTCAGCGCCTGACCTATCCACACAACTGACATCACCAGACGAAGACACGCCCGGTTAGCAGCGGCACCACCCCTGCCAAAGCTATGGGCGCCCCTCTCCAAAGGCTTACCCCTGCCACCAACCAACTTTTCGCGGCACTCAGCGATGCACTTCCAGAAGCTCCTCAGTCTACTTCGTGTTCTACCAGTCAGCACCTTATTCGCTCAATGTCGTCTGCACTCCAGTGAGTTTTCTATTTCCGGCATTTCCGATTTTCGCGCATAAAAAGCAGCCTCCGGTCAAAGGAGCTAACGAAGGCAGACTGTTCCCTCACTCAGATTACGCCTTCGTCGTTGTCTCGTGAGAAAGCAATTAAAAATGTGTCCGAGGCTATTTTTTTCACCCGCACCAAAAAACATTGATTCCAAGGGTTGGCATGTCCACCGCATCAGTCCCTGCCTCAAGAAATGATCGAGCAGTAGTCGCAGTTCGTGTTCTAATGAGGTCGTCTTGGCCCGTCTTCGAGTGGGTTACACCCGTCTGATTCGCCGTCCTTTTTATGGATGGCACACATCCACTATGTTTTTGTCCCAGCTTTCTCTGTCCATTCAGCGTGCCTCACCGCCTGCCCCTGATTTCAAGCTCTGCGTATTCCTGCCCCTGATTTCAAGCTCCCCTTTTACCTACTAAAACATACGCCTTGATTCCAAGGGCCGGCATGCCCACCGCATTAATTCCTTTTTGAAGAAATGATCAAGCAGAAGTCGCATTACCCGTTCTAAAGAGGTAGTGTTGGCCCGTCTTCGAGTGGGCAATGGAGTCGTCGTCTTGTCATCGTCGCAATCAAGCCATCATACAAACATACTTGAACACAGCAGACCGGTCAAACGTACGAAGTATGTTCACATTACATTACTCGGCAGCGCGCAGTCTACCGCTCATGCCATCCCCTCTCCCCCCCCCCCCCCCCTGGTCGGCGACGACCACCCAAGCCTGCTCGATGGACTCTTCCCTCTTCCGATGGAACCAGACGTCTCCCACTCCATGTGAAACTCTAGGCTCCCTCACATACATTCCTTTTATAATTAATGTTCAATCTATTCATAATAAACAATCTGCTTTCCGAACGATCATTAGCTTCACGACAATTGGGCCCGGGTATGACGCTTACAACGGGAGAAGGTGGGTGGGACTGGATGTAAGCTTTAAGGAGTT